TGCTGCTGCTGCTGCTGCTACGACCAATAGTAACAGTAACACAAATAACAATCATCATAACATGCAAAATGATAAAGACTCCAAACTCTCATCATGACGACCATCCGACACGCGGTTCCTCACGCGACATGGTTGCTGGCAAGCTGAGCAACTCCTTTCACCCTGACAGCAGTCACCTGCTTCGCAAATTGCGATCCAACATGGAGCCCCACCGCGCACGCCGCGAGTTGAGCCATGCAACCTGCACCACCAATCGATCAAGTGCAGCCTTCATTTGCTCACCCCGGCCTTTTCCATCCCAAGTGTCTGAGCCATAGCCGCCGGAAACTCGAGCTTTCCTGCACGCAACATTGGCAATCTCAAGATTGAGAACACATGACTATTCAATGCCCCTTTGTGCTGCTCAGGTGCGCATCGGGTTGAGTCTCACCCGCGCTGGTCCTGCGACTGACAGACGTCGTTTTCCTACAAGCAGAAGATGTGCAAAAGCGCATAGAATTCTTTCTGCTGAAACAGTGAATGAGCTTGCCACCGAGAGGTTTCCATGTGCAGGGCACTCACTGTCGCATGGTTGCTTCCCTAAGCCGCGTGCGGCATCCAGCGTCCTTCACCGGCTGGGTATATGGTCCCGCCTGATGCCCAGGTAAGCAGGATAAGTTCGGCAAACAGGCGCTTTGCAAGATCCAGGTCCTTCTAAGATAGAATATTACTGAATAACATTGGACTCTGAACCACCACTGCAGGACCACCCACATCAACGAATCATCGCACTTTCTGCAACCTGTGTTTCAACTTCGGTATCCTTTTACTTAGAGGGGCGCTATGACCTGTGACAAAAAGGGCGACAAATGATGAAAAACATGCCTGTCACAACGTGCTCATCAACGACACTTTATGAGTCATGTGGGTGCCTGGGTGGCTCTATTCAGGCAGCGAACGGTGAACAGGACTGTGCATGTCCATTTTCGCTGGTGGATATAATCGCGTTTCAACACTGAAAAATCCCTGATGCGTGGGAAGCCCGGCCTATCTCCTGCTCACGTTGGTCCAGAGCGCCGTAGATCCGATAGTATGTAAAGCCGTCACCCAGCACATGGCTGAGGGAAATTACCAGTGCGAATCTGCCTGCAGCACTGCAACAGAGAAGCTCTGGTGCAGATCTCACGAAGAAGCGCAGTTTGTGCTCTTTGTCTAAATGTGGAGTAGACTGACCAGCATCGATTGGACCTCAAGACCCCTGCTTCGACACTCGGCTAGCAAACCAGCCAAGCGCCTGGGGCCATAGTCACGACCTTACTGATCGGTACTCTGGAGACGGCCCATTACGGAGTGGCATGCGTGAGGCCAGACGCATGCTGCCTCCTTCACCGGAAGCAACAATAAAGTGCAAAGGCACACTGATCCCTGAGTACAAAGTCTCTCTACCGGGACACGCTCATCACGCTCCACCTAACAGCGAGACATGTACACCTCCGGAAGAGATCTGCAAAGGACGAAACATGCACACCCAGATCCTCCCAAACTACATCAATTTTCTCTGAGTCACCGACACACGAAACAGAGGGGTTGGATTGTCAAGGCAGTCCACACCCGGCGGCACAGTGACCTGAAACTTGGGGTGCTTCCATGGAGACACGGGTAAGCAGCCCTACTCAAATATGGTTGATCTCAGCTTCTTCTCATTGCTTCCGCTGTTGTGAGAAAGTGGCAAGACGTGGCTAGTAAGCAAAGCCAAACGAGGAGCATCTTCCAGCAGTCGGCGCATTCTCTGCAGGGGTGCCCGCTTGGTCAGCAGTCGCCTGGAGGTCCTTGGCTACCGCGATCAACAGCTTTCAGTCGGCTGCACAGTTTCCAACCACATCAAGCTTCTCAAAGTCAAGGCTACTGATGTGAACACTTAGAACTTTGTCGATGCATCGCAACCGTGTACAACCTGCTACACCAAGCTGCCTCCGTTTCAAAACTCACGAATACAACAGGAGGGGTGCAATCAGCTGCAAGGTCACGTCTGGTGACCCTCAAAGAACTGCAAGTTAGAGCAGTATGGCCACTCGGTGAAGAGCGATGTGGAATGTGGTGCATCCGCCGGCACCCAAAGCACAGTGCTGCCAGAGGCCCTGTGGCCAGGCACATTCCACGTGCACACAGAGGCCGAATCCACCGAAGTATGCACGAGGGAAGCAGGCTGTGCTCCCTAAAATTATTTTGCATAACATCTCGCCTGTCTCGCCGCAGTTGTCCACCCAGCCATGGGTTTGCAGCCAGAAGGGTCTGCAGGGCTCTCAGCTCTAGAAATGTCCAACACTGCACACTGCATCTCCTGAACATCCGTATGAAACCATCAGACACTTGCTCTGAGACCGTTCCCTTTAGTTTTGCCGGGATAGACCTCTGTCATGTCGCGGAGCAGAGAAGTGGGAGGCTCACCTTCGTAAAACGTTACCTGATCGGAGCAAGCAGAACCCAGCATTCTTGGCGCGGGTGAAGGGGCTTTGCTCTCGACCTGCCGAGCTGCGGTTGTAATTGAAGGCAGCATCATGATAGATCCAGCCTGTGTCAGGGAGTGGGATCTACAAGCGGCGAAACATCTCTAGACGCATATGGGTAGTTGTCAAAATTAGGGTCCCTTTTGGGGTACCCTAAATAATAGGTGCCGTATTATAACAAGGACCCAAAAAGGGACCCTAATTTTGACAACCACCCATATATCACTAGAACACACTGGCATCAAGTAGCTGTCACTCCTTCAGGCCTCATCAGGCAGCAGAGGCACTATACGGGGCGTTCCATACCTGACGGCTCAATTCAAACATTGGCCACAAGAAACGAGACTGTTGTGCCGTGCTGTGGTTTATTGCTGTTGGGAGTTGGGGGGGTGGTCTATACAACTTCGGGATTCCCACTGTGATATCAGTGAACCAAGCCCAGGCGCTGCGGCCGTCAACACCCCTGAAGCCTTTCCCTTGCCTCAAGGTTCGTCTCACTCGTCGACATCCGGCGACGGAGGGTGCCAGCGCAGTGGCTGAAGCCAACAAACCTCGACCAAACCGTGGTACGCACTTGCCGATGCTGATCCACGGCTGCAGTGGCTTTGTCCACATGCAGGCTACTCCAAGTCATGCGGCGGTCTGGACCTCCCTGACCACTACGGCCAAGTCTTAACATTGCGCAGTCAAACTTTCGCTGGGGCCCCAAACGAAGTGCAACAAGGCCCCCTGCAAAAGCGAACCCAGTCTCCGAGCTGAGGCAGGAACTGCTGGTGCTTTGACCACCTCGGCGCCCAGATTGGCGCCGTTGCTGACCACCTTGCTGCTATGTGCAACAACATGGTGTCCTTGCCGGCATGTAATGGCATGAAGGTTGCACCCAGGCCCCAGTGCACAATCGGTTGATGACCAGAGGCCTGGCGTCTTGAGGTTCTATGGGACATGGTATTGCATTAATTGCATTGTGTTGCATTGCCCTCCCCCTTTGCCGCCCCTCCCCATGCTGACACGATCAGGTCATTGTTTTCGATTTTTGGTTCATTATGAAGGGTCCGGGACAGGTCCTTCTCCTCGGGCCGCGTGGTGGGTTGCCAAGGAGTTTGGCAATTCTGCTATGCCCTGCCACCTTCCCCCAGCAGCTTTCGCGCTAGCGGTTCAATGATGGAACGATCTGCGGAAGCACTATGGATGCTACTGTTCCGGTGGTTCGTTTATTGACTTCTACTGCGGCCGACTGCGACCTCTCTGTGGATCAATATTCTGAGAATTGGTTCGACTGCTCCTCCCACTACACTGATTCCGAGTCACGCTGCAGTTGCTATCCCTGAACCATCCCTGAACGGCATGCCAAAAACCACTACGACTACGAGTTCTAGAACTTCTAGTCAGCCTCATTTCTTTTGCTGCAGTGATAGATATGGGTTTCACGACTGCGCCGAGCACGGATGAAACGGGCAGTACCGCTCTCACTACTGTTGCGATCGTCACTACCACTATCGCTACTACTAGCATCAAACATTTATGTTCCTGCCACCGCAAAGGCGACTGCCACCGCCATGGACGCTCCTGCTCCTGCTCCGGGCCGGCTCGTGCTCCTGCTGCTGCTCCTGCTCCCCTGCTCCTGCTCCTACTCCGGCCGCTGCCCCTGCCCCTGCTCCTGCCGCTGCTCCGGATGCTTCTGCTGCTGTTGCTGCTGCTGTTGCTGATGCTGCTACTACTGCTGCTACTCCGTCTGCTGCTGCGGCTGCTGCTGCCACCGCTTCTGCTGCTGCAGCTGCTGCCGCTGCTGCTGCTGCTTTGAAAAATCACAGAGCCTGGAACTGTCCTACTGCATAGGGTGATGTTACTAGCGTTGTTCTGACACTGATTGGTGAACTGCTCCTGCCTTTAATCCGATGTTAGTGTCTCCATCATCATTACATCTCTACTTCCACTACTCTTATGGCCGAAAACGCCGACACCTACCAAAGCAGTTGTAAAATCCTATCACGAGCTTGTCATCGTACGTGTCTCTGCTGACAAACCAAAACTTGTCTAGCTACTTTGCTTATCGCTATGGCCACTACTACCGGTAACTAAAGTCATACGGTCATGAACAGGCTGATTCTTGCGGCAACTAGATTTTCACGATGGATCCTTGCAGCGTTCTTGCCTGGACCTGGGACTGGAGAAGGCACCGACCATAGCGCTGGAGACCCGGGTGCAGGCACCAGCATCGTGTTCGGAAGGCCGGGAAATTACAACATCTGCAGCTTGGCATACTGGATGTTTCTGATTGGTCACTGATTACGACAACAACCAACAACGAACGACTATGTCCACTACTGGTCCTGATCCTCTCGCTAAGGCTCTTGCTGTTGCTGCTAACACCTATCTTGCTGCTGCTACCCATGCTGGAAATGAAATCATAATACGACTGCTGACTACTCCCACTGCGGCTACAGCACTGCTACCTCTACGGCTACTGCAACTGCCAGCAAATTCGTTGTGAATCAGCACACAGGAAGGCCCACTGACCATAGTTGTCCAACAGCTGGAAAGACAAGAGCCGCTCGCATCATGTGCTCAGCTGCGCTGCTTTTGCTTGCACTTCGGCTGGGTTGCACTTTGGTGAGTGAGACATGGCTAGCTACATAATCGACTTCTCCAGGCGCTGCGTAGGAGCACGGATCATTCGCTCCCTTCAAAGGCCAACGCAACTAGGCCCGTTTTCCAATGCTCTTGTGCAATCGTGCAATCATCGCAGAAGGAACAGGCCATTGAAGCTGACGGGAAATGGCATGAGGGAAGTTCTGAGGGTAGCTCTACGACCCTACGAGTAGTTGACAAGCCTTGGCAAAAGCCTGCTTGCACCTCACTCCTCGCCTCCAGCAAGAGCATCCCACTCATACATGCTGAAGAAGCACACCTGGTCCTAGCAGCAACAGGTTGTAAATATGTCAGCACAACAGACCCGCTCACATCTACAGCTGTGGTGAAATAGAATGCCCGCTGAATGTTCAGCCAGAGGTCCTTGCACCGAAGGATGCTCTGCTCGTTTTTGATGGCCGTCTCAGGATCTACAACCTGCAGCAATCACACTTAGACTTTGTCTATCTTAAGCAACCACCACATGTTATCTCTCGTACTGGTAACTGTGCAAAGCTCTCTGAGAACTGCTGCTTTCGATACTCGATGATTGATTGTTGGCGCATGCCAGCTCACCTCCTTCTCACTGTCCTTGAGTTTGACGTCCACATTGCTAAACGCACGGACCACCTCAGCTTCTGGGCTTCACCGCCAACGGAAGCATCCCTCACCGAAGCGCAATGATGAGTGGAATAAGTTTTTCAAAAGGCTGCGACCAACTGCTCATCCTGCTGCTCATAATAGACCCAGCAAACCTCACATTCGCTGCTTTGCACAGAAAAAGACTTTCTTTAGCACATCTGCCAGACTGTGAACCTGAGGACTGCAACGTAGCTGCGGTTGTCGCCGCGTCCGGAGAGCTTGGAGCTTTCCTTTAAAGGCCAAACCTGAGCTTGGCAGCGACAGGGAAATCAGCTCGCACAAGTGCATGGAGCATAGGGCAGTTTTCTCGGTGAGATGGGATTCAACGGCTGCGGACGGCCCATGAGACACCACACCGTACTGCGGACTTCGATGGTAGGCACCAAACGGCAGAAGGTCAATCCAACAGCTCCAAGGAAACTGCAGCCCAGGTGCCATCATGGAGAACCTCCATTTTGCCATAAAGTCCACACTCAGTACCTCTCATGAGCAGCGGCTCAGCCGGCTTGGGTCAGGATTGGAGCATGGAACAGCTCAGAGAGAAACCCTGTTACAAAAGCCCTGCCACCCCAGCTAAATCCCGATTACGTGCCTTCAAAACACTAGTATCTGCGGTATACATAGATAGAAACATAAATACATACATACATACATACAAAATCATTTCGTTCATACAAACATACATTCATACATTCATACATGAATCTACATATACATATACATGTACATATGTGTGTATATATAATTGTAACATGACTGACTGACTGACTGACTGATTGACTTGTTAATTGGTTGACTGGTTGATTGATTGATTGGTTGATTGAATGAGTGCGTGAGTGAGTGAGCGGACATGCTGGGTTGGGTGTTGGGGTTGGGGTTCATAGCTTTAGGGTTCAGGATTACGGCTTTGAAAATTGGGGTTTATGCTTTTGGGGTTAAGGGTTCGGGGTTTAGGATTAACTACGGCTTGTAGAGTTAATGGCTTTGGTGTTTACGGCTTGGTTGGTTGGTTGCTTGTTTGCTTCTTTGCCTGATTGATTGGTTGATTGATTTACTGATTGTTGACTGACTGACTGACTGACTGACTGACTGACTGACTGACTGACTGACTGACTGCCTGACTCATTGATTGATTGAATGGCTGGTTGGTTGATGGATTAACCATCGAACTCAATTGAACTCAAAGGAAGAAGTGCATCTCGCGACGTTCCTTTTCCACGATCACTCAGCTATGCTCGAAGGCCCTGAAGTCGTAGGATCGAGCGTGCCAGAACTATACACCTCGATAACAAGTTCAGAGCCCACAACACCTTCGGACACATCCAAAATTTGATTCCAACGAAAAAGGGCTTGGTCTCGCGTTCAAACATCTTGAAGCCCCGCCCGATTGAGATCATCAGAAAGGGCATCGTCGGACGGATTCCATTCGATCCCGACTCTGCATCCCACCTTGGCCAACAGGAGGTGGCATACAGAAATGATTCTTGCAGAATCTGGAGAGGCCCGGAGACGTCACATTTAGCGAATGATGCAAAGCATTGCAGTATGGCTAGCGTTTCCAGAGGCATGATCTGCGTCTGGCGGTATTGCAGGATGCCCAAGACCGTGGCGGGGACGTTCGACGCTCCCGCAGGGAGCTGTTTCAAGTCCGGGCGGGGGACGAAACCCAAGCCCAGGCAGTCCATCTGTGCCGGCTGCCAGCTGGCGTCAGTGTACACGAGTAGCAGCGGCCGAGCTTTTGGGCCCAAGAAGATGGTTCTGTGCTCAACCACGTGCACCAAGGACTGAAAGAAGCGAAGCGAAGTCCGAATGAAGCTGGCCTCATTGTCTCTGTACTGCCTTTGGAGCCAAGCAGCTCGGCCCGCTCGTCCACACTTGCCGAACATGCCACATGCTGCCATTTGAGCCTGCCACGTAGCTTAGCCGCCTCCGCAGCGGTGCGCTGCTCTCCGGTCTCGGTCAAGCATCGACTGGATGTCCTCCCGGAAAGTCTCACGCAAGCCCATCTTCAGGTCGACACGCAAGATTTGTTCGTCGAGCACCGCGGCTAGGTCCGCAAGGTCCATAAGGACGCCGAAGAAGTGCCTCTGTGTAGCGATGGGTCCTTGCTTAACAGCATCCAAGATCAAGCCCATGTGGTTATGGGCCTCAGGCAAGAATGCTACTTCGTTACCCTTAGCACACACACACACAGAATCTAGCACCCTAAAAAGGTCAAAGTAGTTACAGGTTGCCAGTGCGATCCTGCGAACTACGGCAGCAGACAAACAGGGCACTCAATTAAAGTCTAAGACTGCAGCGGACAAGCCAAAAGGATGAGCCCGCAGGTGCACATGCTTGACCTCTTGATCATCTGGATCGAAGTAGGCAACAACAAGGCCTGCTTTCTCGGAGGGGCCATTCGGCAACTGTCGGTACGCCGCTTTCATGTCTTCCGTATCAAGATGTGGATGCAGATGGTCTCCTTCGAGAAGCAAGATTTATTGTGTCCACAGAAATGGCCATCATCATCGGCACGCAACCTGTTAGCTGGCAACAACATGCATCTCCGCATGGGAATCCAATTCCGTGGCCTGAAAATGTCATCCAGCTAGCTCTTGGTAAAGGGGCCAGAAGCGACACCGACTTCGGACCTCTGCACAAGCATACGACACCCTGGTCCTCGCTGCTGCTGGAATCGCCAGAGGAACTACTTGCAGAAACCGAAGCGCCTTCGCCTCCAGCCGGTGGCTCCGCATGCCAGTCTGGTTTGCGAAGCTCCTGACAAACACCATCAACGGAGGGCAGGTTCTGGCGATATTATCCAAGCTCAGCTTGAAGGAAACTCTCTGCGCCGCCAAAAGGATGGAAAGCATGACTTCTTGCTGGATGCCAGCCGAAGTGAACACATTGTCATTAGCATAATGTTGGGCCATGTGGTGCACAGCCCTCGGCTGGTTCCGTTCCCCGCCCGCTCAAGGACGCTCCTGCCACAATTCCCGATCAGCCTGTGCTTTCCGGGCAATCTACGGAAGCAGTCGGCAGGCACCGGCGAAGACGGTAAGAGGAGAAGGCACGTGCGTCCAACCCCAAGTAGCACCGACCGCAAGAAATCTGTAAAGCGGGGCAATCCCATGCCCGTCAAGCGCCGCATGGCTTGCAAACAGCCTGCACGCTTGTCAGGCTGTTTGGCGACATCTTCACTGGGCCTTTTTGGAGGAGCCGTGGGAGCAAGGTGCAACTGCTCCTTGACTGTCGATTGCACACGTGCCAGGCCCCTTGGTGATCTGTCTGATCAGCACCGGATCTGAATCATCCTCGATGCCCAGCGAAGACAGCGCTGCGCAAGCTGCAGCACTCAGCGACGCCTGAACAACAGGAGAAAAGGCCATGGCTCGACTTCTCCCTACTCAACAGTCAGGCCACCGCCAGCTGAGCAAAGCAGCTGCGATGGCTGCATGGTTAAAAGTGCACATGTCCCTTCCCAACCAGCCATGCATGTGCACCTTCATGACTGACTGACTGACTGACTGATTGTGCGCACATAAACTCGGAACATGTGCGTGCATACCTACCTACCTACCAGCTACCTACCTAGCTACCTACCTCCCTGCCTGCCTACCTGCCTAGGTACTGTACCTCCTAGCTGCCTGCCTGCCTACCTGCCTTCCTGCCCACCTGCCGTCCTGCCTGCCTACTGCCTGCCTACCTACCTACTTTCCAAAATAACTACATTCACAAAATCATACATTCGTACATGCAGACAAACAGACAGACAGCCAGCCAGCCAGGCAGACAGACAGACAAGACAGACAAGACAGACAAGACAGACAAGACAGACAAGAAAGACAGACAGACAGACAGACAGACAGACAGACAGACAGACAGACAGGCATACAAAACAGGACAGGACAGGAAGGACAGGAAGGACAGGACGGACAGGACGGACAGGACGGACAGACAAAACTATACAGACATACATACATACTTACTTACCTACTTAGTCGGATGTGGACTGTGGGAGGCTCACTTGGTCATGAAGCAATCCAGCAGCTCGCTCCAAGCCCCAAGCCCAAACCCACCAACGATGCAACCCAAGCTGTCTGAGGCACGGTTTCGATGTGCTTCCCCCTGACGATCGCAGTGCCTCGGCTGCTGCCGGTCGGAAAAGTAATTGGAAACGAGTCTGACCCCCAAGCACATGACGCTTGACCAGGCTTTTCCTCAGCTTGGCCTTTTCGAGGTCCTCCTGTGCCAGAACATCCTGGCACAGAGGTTTGCCGGTCTGCATCACAAAACGAACGACCCCACCTCGTTTGTTGGCCAAGCAGGCGGGCACCAGCCGTCCGCTGTCGGATAAATGCCCTCCGTAGCCTCTGCCACAGAATCGCATGCCCCACCCACGTCCAATGCTCAGCAGTCTTTTGCGAGGAAAGTATCAGCCACAAGCCATTTGAACAGTTGTCATTTGGTCGACAACTTAGTCAACTATAAACCTGTTGCATCGCAGCCTGCATGATTCACGAAACACTGCCTCTTGGGACCAACTCGCTATTGACATCGTGTGACAGCTTCAATCCTCTTGAACGCAGACCCTTCGCAAAAACCCCCAACCCCTATCCTCATTGAGGCTCGCACCCACATGATGTGGCAAAGATTGGCCCCGAAACTCTCTGCAGTTCGAGCCACTGGTACAAACATGGTCCCTGGCTCGGCTGAAAACTTATGAACTTTAACTAGGGTTTCGGGTTCTAGGTCACCAGGTCCGTTAGGTGTTAGGATTTGGGGTTTGCAGTTTTAGGCTCCTTGCCCTTAGGGTTCCCATTTCGAAGTTTATTGCCTGCTCTTGCTTCCGCCCTTCTGACCCACGTGCGCGCTGTCGAAATGGCCTGCATCTAGCCTGCCCAAGCTTTCCACAGCCCAGTCTTTTCGAAGAAGGTTCAGACTGCCCGCCTACACGCTCAAAGTCGTGTTCCTCCAGCTTCGTCCCATCACGAAACGACAGACACCGACGAACACCTCGAACAACCCCCCATTAGCCTGCAAGAAGCCCCACCACGCTCCCGAAAAAAGTCTGGGCATCTTCTACATGCAAGCTTGCCAGGCCGAGTTACTTCACAGCACCGTCCCTGCATTTATGGAGCACATTCCGAATAATCCTATTCTTGCTATGTTTCTGTGCCACTATTAGCAGTATCGGTATACCTATGACCATCATAAAGATGACGATGACGATGATCGTAAAACCGATAGCAATAACGATGATGAGGATGATGATGACGATGATGTTGATGATCATGCTGTACAACAGAATAGCTATTCGATGTTACGTTTCCCGAAGTTTTACTTTCCCAGACGGGCCATGACGTGAACTGTTAGCCGCCGCAGGGGTCCCAGGCTCTTCCGAACCACTCCGATGCCTTCCCAACCCTAACCCTGGACTTTCCCACTTTTCGGCCGAGGTTCGGGGGCCCTTCTGCCCGAGTTCGAACGAAGCTTTTGGCCAACAAATCTAGCGCTTCGAGTTCAGGCTTAGGCGTCTGGAATTTTAGGGTTGGGGCTTTAGCAGTCTCAAGCATCGCACAAGGAATGGTGACATCGACTCAGCAGCTTGCTCAATTCACAACAGCCAGAGAAACCTGCAAAACTACGATCAATTCATAGATTTTTTTGCAGCGCCACGAAACACTCGCGGTGAAGCAGCAAGGCTTGGAGCGCGATGATACAAGCAGGGAACTCCCAAATCGATTCACATGGACATTTCGACAGACAGCCCTGGAAGCAGTCATGCTACCGACTAAACAGACGAACACAACACCCAGTTTGCAGACAGCCAGAAGGCCCAGATCGTAGAAAGCCCGCAGTAGGCTGTGGTAGGCAAATGACATGCAAGACGGCTTGTTGTTTCCTGTCTCGTGCTAAGATCCAGACAACCCAGGTTTGCATCTGCAAACTCAAGGGTGCCCTGTACATTCTCTTGCAAACTACCGAGTTCGTGCTCCAGCCACAGCTGAGTGGCAGAACCGGCTAATCGTATCGTGCAACAAAAGCATGACGCAAGCGATGTCTCAGGAAGGCGTGATGCCCAGAGATGCCGGCACTTCATAATCATCAACTAGATCACCAGGCACACATGGACATGGGACATCGCAACCGACTGCTGCGGCCGGGCAGTGGGAAGTGCAGATCGATCTGAAACACGGAGCCAACTACGCAGCTCTTCTATCTCTCAGGAATACGCTTGTAATGGTTGCCCAAGCACTTGTGGCCACGGCAGCTGCAGCGCACGCAGACGGCCACCTGACCGTGTGACCGCAGGCTTTTGCGATGAGTCAGAGTGAGCCGTTCGCTACATGCAAACAACGAGCACCCAGACGATGCCGAGATGTCCTTGCAACACACAGCCTCCACAGCCGCAAACTCAAGGCCCCAGCCAAGATGCCGACAAGGATGACCAACAGAAGGCTCCGAATCACCTACAAGGTATCGGACTCTCATCAGCTTTGCTCTTGAATTCGGCTACCTGCAGAGAAGCCTTACATGTGGGCCCCGAATACAGTGCAGGGACTCTCCAGCTTTTCGTGCCAAGAACAACCTTCTGCACATGAATAGACAGCTTGGATCGCAGGCTTCAGTGGCAGCAAGCTCTTGTCGGATTCAGAAGCAACAAGGACTCCTGCTGAGCATCTCACGGCATTCCATAGGCCCGCTTCAAAGACAAAGACGAACACACCTTTGTCATTCAGCAAAATTACGACTAAGTCGCTATCAACATCTTCACAAGAACAGTGCCGGCGACTCGCCCTCACGACCTCTGACTTCGGAAATAAGACGTGCTGTGCCTTCCGACCTGCCCTGGAAGGCTTTAAACCCTAACGTTCGGGGTTGCAGGTGGAAGGCTGTGTAAAGCATTGGCTTGATAGATCTTTGGACCAAGGACAAGAGAGTCGTACTGAGATCCCTTCGCTTACTGCTGCCTCTTTGCCTCTGCTCCTCGAACTCCACATTTGCCCCCATGCCGAGTTGCTACTGCAACGTACTCTAAGTAATGACGAGTTGCTCACGGCAGAAAACTCCATGTACGTCCACACGGGATCCGGGTTGACCGTGCACCACTGGCCAGCACATGGGAATGCAAAGCGAAGCGAGGCCAGATTGCAGCAAGACATGAAGAAGCAGACGGGTCATCATTGCCGAACGTGTTCTGCTAGGCTGCTAACTAGATTCTCATAGCCCTACGCCCCAAACTTCCAAAGCAATAATTTGCATCACGCAACAGGTTCACAGAACACACTTGCTACAGGACGCTACCTGTGGCACCCTCCAAGCAGCTGTCATCAGATGATGTGGAGCATACCTTTAGCGAAGAGCTTCTACTGTCGAAGACCATGGAGTGCAATCTCCGACAATGTCCATCTACTTGGAACGCAGGCTCTGAAGATATCTAAAGATCCTCGTTGCGGAGCCAGGCCACCATAAGATGACATGGTCAGTGTATATGGAGTTCTCGGCCCAGAACTGTTTATGATCGACACCTGCAGCAAGGGAAAACCATTGAGGCTTTAGCCTTGTAGCCTTGACTTCTGCCCCATTTCATCGTGAGACTAGTGTGCGGGGCGTCTGCAAGAAGCTATGGAAGCCGATGTTGTGCAAGAGCACGACATAAAGATCGTGTGAGATCCGGGCTGTGGCCACAAGGCTTCAGAAGCAATAAAAGCAGCAGATATGTGGCCCCCGTCGTGAGGTCACATGCACAAAGAACCCTCGCCAGCCTGCTGCGCAATCCGTCGAAGCATTTCTGCAGATCCGATGCGTGCCCCACACCGGGTCAGAAAAGAATTCCTGAAAGTCGATTTGCGCTCTGTGATCCCAGAAACCGGAATGAGTCCGTGTGTGCACCTGATTGCATTAGTTTGGGTTGCCATCCAGCATCCCTAGCAGGCATTTGTGCACGAACAACGTACGTGTGTATGTTTACCTGTATGTATCTATGTATGTACGAGTTTGTATGTGCAGATTTATGGGTATCTGTATTTGGGATGTACATGAACGTGTACATGCATTTGTATATGCACATATATAGGCCTTTGACAATGTATATGCATGAGGTGTGTGTGTGTGTATATATTTATATATACATATACGGCCATTTATGTGTCTATTTGTTTCACTATGTGCTCAATGTTGGGTAAATCTATTTACGTGTTTGTGTATTTCTACATAACTTTCCTATACAGTTTTATATGCACACACATACTTTAGGCTCGTGCGTGTGAACATGCGTTGTATAATCATGCACATCGTCAGATATTTTCGCATCCTCACGTGTTCTAACTACACGACTTAAGCTTTTCGCTTTGTTGGTATGCAGTCTGCACTGCACGTATAGATGCATGTACTCATGAATACACAGAACACAGATAGAATGTACATATGTACATACGTAGGAATGCACACTTACACGTATGTACATGCGCATGTATGTATGTATGTATGTATGTATGTATGCATGTATGTATGTATACTTGCCTCAATGGCGCTGGTGCTGCCAAGATTCGTAGGGCAACGGCACATACTTTGCCAGGTTGGTTTTCCACGGAAAACCTCTAGGGGGATTCTTTCAGCCATGACAAAGCACTACCGATCCACAGCTCGATTTTGTCAAGCGGCTTGGCGCAGTGTCTTGGCCGTTCGTCAATCGAATGACGGGCACAGGCTGGTGGTTGCGCGCCACGCTGTTCAGAAAGTACTGCCCTTGGCTTCGTTGATTCAACCACTTGCCAATTCAGTTCGCAGAGCATCAAATGTCTATCTTGGCACGCCGTGGAAATTCGTAATAGAGACTAAGATCTACAGGCCAAACGAAACATGATATAACATGTAAGACTTGCGAACATGAAAGTTCTCCACGATTCATTGCAGACAACAATCTCGGACATAGCTTGGCACCAAATTAAAGTCTCCCGCCACGTGTTCACTAAACAAACCCTGACTGTGGTTCGGGATTCCTGCATGTGCGATACCATCTGCAAAATTCTCTGGTTTCACCACGTCAAACGCCACTTTGCAGGCAGGGTCGATCCCGTGTACTATAAGCTTTTCTGGTAAGAGAGGTGCGGGCAACATTTTTACAACCATCATCACCATGATTCTCATCGCCATGGCCAGCTTTACGAACTCATTACAAACAGGGTCGACATCTTCATCCTTCTGTTACCATCTTCGTCCCTATCATCTTCACACGCTGCCATTGCTATGATCTGAAGTCTAAAGCACCGGCCAGGCATCTGTAAGCATCGTTGCCCGTCATCGGTGGCTCAAGCACGTAGGATAGCGCGACCTTGCAGAACAACACGTCTCCCGGCCCTTCCGGCAGTCATGAGAAGCAAAACCGTGAAAACACAATCCAGCTTCGATCTCTGCGCCAACACAGCGCGTTGATGAGACTCAGCTTTTGGCATTGTAACCTGACATGTCGAGCAAATCATGTACGACAGGCGGTGCGTGAAAGCTACATGCTGTGACTCCACCAGAAGCATTCGAGGCCCAAAGCGCACCGCATGGCTAGCCCCGCAGAACCGCGCGACTTGCGAAAGGGCTTGTCCGCATCTCTCGGTTTGACATCTGTGGACATCTTTACCGAA